TGGAGAGTGGGAGAGAGAGAGAGAGAGAAAGAGAAGAGAAAGAGAAGAGAAAGAGAGGTACGATTTGAGAGAAAAAGATACTACTGGCTGTCGCCAGTCTTCTTATTTATATTAACTTAATAAAGGAATAGAAATTACAAGTATGCCCCTGGCGGCACATTTTAGAACTAAAAATAATAAGAAAAAAAAAGACAAGTAACTAACTAATAGTATCCTAAGAAGTCAGCCTACTAACAACAGCTATAAAGTAACAATTAAATAAGCCTTACAACAGAGTCATTAAAAGTTATGTTTCCAAAGTTGTTTGAGTCCTTGTCAATGAGTTAGTTACAGTGTCAGACTTGTCAATTGAGTAAGCATTGTAGAAGTTCTTTACCTTTGCGGAATAAAAGATCTGAATTTCCATTTCATATTGTTTATCTGATGTTTGGGGCCCTGTTACTCTACCTACTGAGGCTGGCTATAAGTACTTCATTACCTTGATTGATGATTATTCTAGATACACTTGTGTTTACCCTATGCGATCTCGAGATGAAGTGCCAAAAATTGTGAAAGATTTTCAACGCATGGCGTTCACTCAGTTCCAAACGGAAATCCATATCTTCCAGTCGGACAATGCGAAGGAATATTTCCATAGTGATCTCACGGAGTTTTTTGCTTTGAGTGGGTCACTTCAACGAAGCTCTTGTGCCAGGACACCCCAACAAAATGGTGTAGCTGAACGGAAGAACCGCCACCTTCTCGAAGTAGCTCGTGGCTTATTAATTCATATGAATGTGCCAAAACAGTTTTGGATGGATGCAGTCTTGTGTGCTACATATATCATCAATCACATGCCCTCTCGGCTACTAGAGTATAAGGCCCCACATAAGCTTTTGTTCCCTAYAGCCCCGTTGTCCACCATTCCGATGCGTGTTTTTGGGTGTCGTTGCTTTGTCCATAACCTGTCCCCTACTCGTGGTAAGCTTGATCCTCGGGCTATTCCTTGTGTTTTTCGTGGTTACCCTTTATCTCAAAAGGGGTATCGCTGCTATGATCCCACCTCTCGTAAGTACTATGTCTCCATTGATGTATCATTCTTTGAGAATCAACCTTTTTTCTTGGTTCCTCCTCCATTCTGGGTTTTTCATCGTTGCCATAAAAGCCAACAGAGTTCAAGAGCCGTGGAACCTGACACTATGCAACCAACATCATCGGATTCACCCGAGGCAAATCCGTCTCATCAGCCAGGTACACTTGCTCCTGTTGATATGTCTGTTCCTCTAAATGTTGATTCACCTGTCATCAATGATCTTAATATTCCTATTGCTAAGAGAAAGGGTGTTAGGTCTTATACCACTAATCATCCTATCTCTAATTTTGTGTCCTATGATCATGTTTCACCTTCATACCGTGCCTTCCTCTCTTCTGTGGATAGTGTTGTCCCCGTTCCTAAGAATGTGGCAGAAGCTTTATCTAAACCTGAATGGACAGATGCAATGCAGGAAGAAATTGATGCTTTACACAAAAATGACACTTGGGAGTTGGTAGACCTTCCTGA